CTGCGGAGGAAACCCATTTCGGCCGCTTGTATCCGCTTGTATCTGGTGAATTAATTATGAATTAATTATCTGATGAATGTGACATGCTCTTGCTCTCTGTAAATAAAGCAAAGCCACTTCCTCGTCCGACATTAAACAGAGCCCGACAGAGGAGGGAGGGGCGGGGAGGCTCTTCCCGTGCAGCACTTCAAGAATTGACCTGCATCTGACCTCAAAGTGCACGAGCGACCAACTTCAGCGTTGGCTGCGATTTTGAAGCCGAAATTGCATTCGGTGTGAACGCAGCATAATCAGAGGAGTTGGTAATACCCATTATTGCCAGCAGGGGGAGTATACATTAACATGATAGGAACATAGAGCGTCAGACTGTACCGCCCTGCGACTGTAAATAAGTAAAAACCTGAGCTTCAATCACTGAAAAACATTTCTAATTCAATTTAAAATTGTCATAACAATTGAGAAGCACACAGAACAAAACAATACATGGCAGGCTGCGTAAATAAGCATTTTACATTGTTTATTAAGAGGAACTACTTTGTGGGTGAATGAATGTAGATCACAGATGCTTTAACTTTTGTGACTTTTTCACGGACTACTAGCAGCTAACGCTAAAAACATAGGCAGGAAGCAGGGAGTGGAAGGGAGGAGCGTGACAAGAATTTTACCGGAAATACGTCATTAATGACCGTGGCATATAGGCTATTATAGGGACTAGGGGTGTCCCAATACAACCTGTTTTTTTTCCCAACAACCAGATCTCACCTCCTGGTTATCTGTAGTAGACAACCAAGTAAACAGACCTGGATTAAAGTTATTCAGCAGATGTCCATCACTTGTAAAAATGAAAGGAGGAAAAAAGTTTTAAATACCATCCAGAGATTGACCTGACGGTTCTTTCAACCAGTAAAGTTTCGCCCAATCAAAGCAGAGTAGGGTCTGCGTGTGCAGCGGTAGCCTCCAGTCAGAGAGTGGGTGAAAGCTCTCACCGTTTCCCAGACTATTTTTCACTAAGGATTACGTATTTTATGCATATTATATTTTCAAATGCACCTCGCAGCATTTCCACCGTAACACGGTGTGTTCACACGCACAACAGAACCACGAGAGATCACTGGACTGAAGTGGAGGCTCAGAGGCTCCTGGTTCTCAAAGGAACAGAACCGCAGCAGGAGCGCAGTTTAGTTCCTTTAACTTAATTTTAACACTAAAATAATAATAGAGAAGAATATTTATGCCCCAGCTGATAGACATGTGTCTGTTTGACTTTAATTTCCCCCTAAAATCACAGTATTTGTGTAATATTTTCTCTGAACAGACCTATCTTAATGGAGAAACCTGATGTGGTTGTGGGGACCCCGTCTCGTATTCTGGCCCACCTTAAGGCCCAGAACCTGGTCCTGCACTCGTCCCTGGAGATGCTGGTTGTGGACGAGGCTGACCTGGTCTTCTCTTTTGGTTTTGAGGCTGACCTGAAGAACTTGTTGTGGTGAGAACAAAAGATATCACATGTTCTTTTTATCACCTGTGTGACCAAACAGAAGGAAGACCTCAGTCAAATAAAATTCATTAAAAATGAATGAAAAACAATATTTCAGAATGAATGACGTGTAGTTCTCCCAGTATTATTCTTTTATTTTTAAGTTACTTTGTTAAATGAAATCCAAAAAGAGCATTTCTTTTTACATGTTTTGAAAAAATCTGTGTTTTGACAGCCATTTACCAAAGATCTACCAGTCCTTTCTCATGTCGGCTACTTTCACTGAGGACGTCCAGGCCTTGAAGGAGCTGCTGCTGCACAACCCTGTAATGTCCTTTTTAATGCTCAGAGTTACTAAAACCTAATTTGTGGCCCATCACATCAAAATGAGGATTAAATCTAAAAGTGTTTTATGGAAAAATAGACAAATATAGAGTTTTGATTAAAACATTTGCAAAAAGTGCATTTTGTCAAAACATATTGAGTTAATGCCTTATCAATGTATCATTTGAACAAACTTTCTGAAATATAATCATAAAACAAACTTTTGAACACTGATTTTGAGCAAAAACACCTTAATATTTAGAGATTTTCCCTGTGAGCTAGAAATGTAGTGTTTCATTCCAGCTGGGAAATCTCAATATTCAAATAATATTTGAAGTTTCTTCTTAATAATGACATCAAAGATTCCTCATTAAAATGACATAAAATTAAGATTCAGACCAAATATTTTTGTATTATTGTAACCAACAAGACAAATTAAGTCATATCTCTGGATCCACTTATGATATAAGATTGATCCAGGTATCAAAATGTAGCTTTTAAAGCAGGAATCTGAAAATGTAATTAGGTCATTTTGAACAAATTTGACTTAATCCTCATTTCGATATGATGGGTCACATTTATTCTCTAAACCCTTTTATTGAAAGCTGATCTTTTTAAGGAACCGTTCTCTAACCTGATACCAGCTGCAATAATAACCTCCAAACCTTACTCAGGTGTGAAGATAGTACTATTAAAAATACTGAAACTTGTAAAGTTGTATTCAAAAGTACAAATTAAGCACTCATGGCAAGGCACAAGTTGACAACATAGGCAGATATTTATAGAACGACACTACATTTTTTTGCCTCGGTAAGAACATAGAACAGATGTTGGAAATGATGTAAATATAATTTGTGAAAGTACAAAATTGGTTTAAACATAATAAATTATTATTAAATTTAGATAAAACAAATTACATGATATTTAGCAATAGAAAGAAAACAAATGATGTTCCATTTAGAGTAGAGGGTGTTGAGATCTGTAGAGTAAATGAGTTGAAGTTTTTGGGTGTCATCATTGATGAAAAATTGTCATGGAGACCTCACATAAATTACTTAAGAACAAAAATGGCAAAATCTTTTGCAGTACTGTATAAAGTGAAGGAGTTATTTAATGATAAAGCACTATTTGCCCTATATAATGCAATAATTGTTCCACATTTGATTTACTGTATAGAAGTCTGGGGAAATGCATGTAAAACCATTACTAAACTTATTTTTATTTTACAAAAAAGAGCCATAAGAATTATCACAAGAAAACATTACTATCACCCTTCTAATTTATTGTTTCATCAATTAAAGTTGTTAAAATTTCATGAGTTGGTTGATTATAACACTCTGCAGGTTATGTATAAAGCTCATAGAAATGTGTTGCCATCAAACATCCAATCACAATTTGTTAAGAGGGAAAGCTGCTATAATTTGAAGGGATTAGAAATGTTTGTTAAACCGAAAATCAGAACAAATTTGAAGGACAGATGCACTTCAGTAAAAGGTATAAGACTATGTAATAATCTGGAGGATGACTGTAAAAGCATTGGATCAGTGAATTTCTTTAAGGAAACAATCGAAAAAATGTTAAAGAAACATGAAATTGTTTAATTTGTATTAGAACAGAGTTTCATTTTATTGCCCTGTGTTCTGTTCTTCATCTGAACCCCTGACAGAACTTGTACTTCTCTGAACTAAGATACGAGTAAAAAAGGCCAGAGTACCAGGCTCTGAAAGGATCAGTGCTCTATAGTCGTTGAAATGTTGGGTGATTTTAATTGAAATGGGACTTTTGTTATAGTTCCAGTCACAAACACCTGAACACGTTTAGTTAGTTCAGATGAAATGATCTAGTCTAATCCTGGAGAGAACATAGCTGTGTTTCCATTGACCATGAAAATGCACAAATTAGAATTTCGAAAATAAATTTGCTCAATGGAAACACGTCAATTTCGAAAAATATTAAGTTTTTCGACAAAATGTTTTTGCGCTAGGATGAGGTAGTTTTTCGGCCGTATCGAATTTAGTATTTTTTCGCAAAACTACAATGGAAACACTTTTTTCGCATCACGGGAGTCACGTGATCACAACCGGCTGTTTCTACTGGCGAAAAACACGATGATGAAGAAGAAGATAACAGGAAGTAGAAGTAGAAGTAGTAGTAATATCACAGAAGTAGTAAAAGAAAGTATTAAACTCACAGAGTACAATTTCCCAAAAACACAGCATACGTAGCCGCTCCCAAGTAGGGACTTGTCGCTGGAAAGCCTGGATAAAAGACGCCAACGTCTCCTCTGATGATGAGCGCTAGTGTTGTGGTAGCAACATGCTATGTGTTTACATCCATTGTCGCCATGATTGTAATGACTTATCGCGAGAACAAAAGTATTCACGCGTGACTTTAATAGCATTTCTTACTCAGTGGAAACACAGCTAATGTGGTGGGTTGAGCCTTGTTTCGGTCAGTGATGCTCATCAGGGTCTTAGGCCGTGTTGGGTTGAGTAGTAAAGTGTCAGCTGGATCAAACTTAGGGAAATTGCTGAAACTGTCTCAAAACATCGAGCCGACTAGTAAAATAACAGTAAATGTTAACGAAGAGCCTATTATGTTAACATGTCTTGATTTATTCTGTGTTCTGATCGGCCCCTCTTCAGGTGATCCTGAAGCTTCAGGGCTCCCAGCTCCCAGACAGCAGCCAGCTGCAGCAGTACACCATCAGGTGTGAGGAGGAAGATAAGTTCCTGCTCATCTACACTCTGCTGAAGCTGCAGCTGGTTCAGGGAAAGACGCTGCTGTTCGTGGGAACCGTCGACGGATGCTACAGGCTCAAACTGTTCCTGGAACAGTTTGGGATCCCCGCCTGCGTCCTCAACTCCGAGCTCCCCGTTCAGTCCCGGTGAGGCCTAGTCTAAGTCTTCTTTATGAAAACTGAGATCCAGTCTGCTGGAAAACGGAGCTCAAAGGGCTGTTCTTTTCCCTCTCCTCGTCAGGTGTCACATCATCACCCAGTTTAACCAAGGCTTTTATGACATCATCATCGCCGCAGACGAGCAGAGTCTGTCTGACCCTGCTGCTTCAGCACAGACAGATTCAGGACAGAAGAAGAAGAAGAAGAGGAAGACAAAGAAAGGAGGAAAGTGAGTCAGGTTATTCATGTTCAGTTTGTTCAGAGTCCAACAGATCACTTCTTAGTCTGTCAGATGTACTGTTTTTCATTGTTTTCCTTCATACTATCAGCTGTATGGTGCAGAGCTTGTCTTTAGTTCTGTTAGTAAAATATCTCAAACCATTGTATAGATCAGGGGTTCTTAACCTTTTTGACCTCGGGGCCCAATTTGTTGAACATAAAGTGACACAAGGCCCAGTCAGACGTTATCAATGTATGGATCAAAATGATAATTATTCTAAATCTTGGTTTAATTTTTATTGTATTTACATCATAACTAAACTATCATAACTAACATAACTAAATTTAATACGCTTACAGTTTAAAAGTAAAACTCCTGTCAAATAATCACAAGACATGATTATAACAAGGATTTTTATATTGTCACCTGCCCATAACAATTATTTGAACAAATACAAAGGTCAGTCAACAGACCACCCAGGCTTATCGGCGCATTTTTATGTACAGTGGGGAGAACAAGTATTTGATACACTGTTGATTTTTCAGGTTTTCCCACTTGCAAAGCTTGTAGAAGACTGTAATTTTTATCATAGGTACTCTTCAACT